TAAAGGACTGACAGCCAAAGAAAATTTTTTTCTAAAAAAAAATTTCTAAAAGTTACTGTGCAAATCTGAAGGGTAAAATTCAGCAATGCTGTAATGCCTCTTAGTAACGACCTACTTCCTTACACAACTGGATCTTCAGCAGGACCAGTGACAAGTTTATAGATAGGACCAATTATTACAAGAATAAAGAAGACCAAGTAAATTAAGAACACGGTTGTTGTAGCACAGTAAAGCTGTGGTTTTTGTATAGTGCAATGGTATTGAATAACCAAAAAGGAAAACAGTATGTACACCAGGCAAAGCAGCAAAATTGTCACCCACAAATTGACTTCCCTCTCACACACAAAACCTTCACTGAATGTTGGACACAAGATGTGGCACATGCTATTTTACACCTGCTGGTGGATACCTGGCAGCTACAAGTGGGGGTAAGCAATGGGGAAGAAAATCAGAGGCATCCTCCTTCCCCATGCCCTGCCCACCTGTTTTTGCTGCCCCCAGCTCAGGGAGGTTTTGGGATATTGCCCAAGGAGGGCAGGGAGGAGATTGTTATGCCTCTGATGAAGTCAGAGGACAGCAATAAGCCTCAAGGGAGCAGAGATAATTTATTCTTCACAAAGTTAGGAACTGCTCACAATACCAGGCACCATGGTATCAAGAAAACAGCAAACTAAGCACTGCATACCTGTGAGTACTGAGAAAGAGGCTCAAGAATCCAGAATGATGGGAATCATCTGAAGATATGCTCCACTGTCAATAAACTCAGCTAGTAAAGAGGGGCTCAAAGAGAAAATTAAAAGCTTAAATACAAATACCAATTAGAAATTAATCAGCTCTGTATCAGAATAGCAGAGATCAGCTACAGAACTAATCGGTTTCACAAATTAAAGCTAAAAAGACACTAGAGAGGGCTGCAATAGATTTTGAAAAGCATAAAGTTATACTGATCCAGAGAAGAGTACAAAAACCCCAAATAAATTAGTAATCTTTCTATGAACACCTAAATAGATGTCAAGCAGAGCAAAGAAAAAATTTCAAACTAAGAAGTTACAACTTCAATAATATAAAGTCTAGATTACAACCCACTTGTTTATTGTAACTAAAGGGAGCAGAACAAAAAGAACCCGTCTGAATTAGCACCACAAACCTGGACTGGTTCCCCATAGAAACTTCCTAGTAAGACTGGTAGGATACCAGAACCACCTACACCCAGAAACTTCAGTATTCCCTAGTCCAAAGATTTTAACAAAAGAAATAAACAAACAAACAAAAAAAAACCCTCAAACCAACCACAAAACAAAACCCCAACCAAAACCACTCTCAGCAAAACAAGAAAAAAATCCAGAAGCCACCCTACAAGACACAAACAAGAGTTGCAAGACAAGTAAGAGAGAGAACAGACAAAGCCACCCTACAAGACACAAACAAGAGTTACAAGACAGGCATCAGGAGAACAGACAAGTTCAACAAAGAACCCAAATTTCTAGAGAAACTTACACCAATGAAGCAGAGCCAAAAAGCCCCAGTGCCAGGACTGCTCTCATATTGAGCACCTGGGCCACGAGGGCAGGGGGTGTGGGTGGAGGCCCCAGGTGAGGTTGGTCAGGGCCATTGAGGACTGGGAGAGCACTCAGAATCATCCCCACCTGCAATGCTAAAGTAATACTGGCAATGCTGAGCTTTGCTCAGTATTCCTTACCAAGGATAAATGTGACTTATTATAAAGGTCACTTTTATAAATGTCTTCAATATATCTTTCTGAACTCTCCAGTGTAATTATTAAAACAGTCTTGTCACACACAGAGAATCTAGTTTACAGGCTTGGGTATGATTTAGGCTACATTTTAATCTACTAGCTCTGAGACAGTGATTTAAAATGTATTTGACATGACAGATGAGAAAATTGTTTATAATGTACTTCATTGCACACAGACTGGTTCACCCAAAACATCAGTAAATATGCCAGTGCTGCTCTCATCCACAGGATCTTTTGAGGGCCAGAATGCTAAAGTAGTTGCAGTACCAGGATTAACAGAGGGTTGTGAACAAGTATGACAAGTATGACAGCATTTAGGGATAATTTGGGAAGGTGCTTCATGACTGTTTTGGGAGATCATTTAATGTCTGTCTCCTGACCTGTGGGAAAGGAAAACCACTAGAGAACATCCCTGATGTTCACACACCACACCCACTTTGAAGAAGGACATTAGATTGTTGTAATTCTTTCTCTGATAAAACACACTTACCCTAAAGTTCTGGGGTTTGCTAATAAGAAGATGGAAAGATAAAGTATTAGAATCGCTGGGATGGCAGGAAAAGACAACTTTAGAAGTGAAGTCAGGTGTCCAACAGAATGCTTTAATTTCAAAGTATTCTCTGAATACAAATAAAGCCTAGAATTATTACTGAAATAAAAAAAAGCTGAATCCTCACATGACAGATTGACAGAATATTTCATTTATTATTGCATTAGTTTTATCAAGGATTCTTACTGCAGAATGCAGGTGTGTGTTCAGACTACCTTGTATTTGATATGATGCAAATATAGGGGGGAAAAAAAACCTGGTTTTCCCCAAAGCAAGTCACCAGCTGGGCACAAAGGGAGACAGTAAATGTGTCCAGACACACAGATGTATTGGGAGGAGCAAGACACTGAAAGCATACAGGGGAGCCTGGTCTTGACATTGGACTCTATGCTGTAGTGAAATTTTGTTCTTCGGGATTGGGGACAACTTTTACTGACATTTTGCTGAAATCTCTTTGCAGATATTTCAAAGGAGTTATTTGGAGGTCAATGCAGCACAGAGATTTAAACAGCTTTCCTGTGAGCCGAGAGGAAACAGGAACACAGAAATGACAAGGGCAACAGACTGGAATTGTGGCCTTGCATGTTACTATGTAAGAGAACACACAGGTTAGGAAAAGGTTTAAAACTGAAGGCAGAAAAAGATAAGGCAATCAAAAATAGCCATGGTGTACAGGAAGTTTCTCTTGATGCAGTATTGCAGCCAGGAAATAGGATAATACTGCATGAGGAGAAGAATGAAATACATCATTATGTATTTTTGCAGAGGGAAGTTTAGGTTGTATGCCACACAGGGAAAACCACATTGTTGGAAGCTTATCATCATGGTAGTAAAAGGCCAGGAAAAAAACCCAAACCAAACAAAAAAGCTGACAAACCAAAACACCCCAAACTGCTCTTAATGTAAATATTATGGCTGTTCATAGGTAACACACATGTGCAAAAGCACCTCTAAACCACAAAAAAAACCCTTTAGTTATCACTTCTTTTAATAACAGGTTGGATAGTATCTCTTTAGTAGCAGATGACAACAATAACTCGTAAAACTCATAATATTGTCAAGTATTGGCAAGTTATAAGGCAAATCCTGTGTAGCCTCTATTTTAGTTAACAGAGCAAACACCTCTGGTCTGATAAAGCTGGCACAGCTCAGGGTAACTATTAGGGATGTTGAAATTGTGATGCTTTTAATTCTGTAGGGTGGGTGTATAAAGTAATCTGGTTGGGTTTTATAACTACAGTCTGCCTTGAACATGCCCACCAAGTGCACTGATACAAGCTGTGTAGCTGTGTTGGACTGTGTCACCATGCATTGAGTTTAGTGTCTCAAGGTTAATTTGTTGGAGCAAGATTACTCTGAAAGGCAAAACCAGCTGTATACAAGGAAAAATATATACTAATGACTGTACTTCAACTAAATCAGGTGAAATTATTTTAACTGCATGACTTTGAACTGTTGCAGTTTTACAGAGGCCCCTGTATATATGGCACTAATTCATGTAAGGGACTTAAACTGGAGTAGGTATTTCTTTTCTCATATTTGTATCAATATACTGGGGTGAAAAGCATTGACACCACTCTAACAGTGTTAGAACTGTTCAAACAATACAAGCTGTGTGAGGGAAACCCTGAGTCTCCTTTGCTGCTACAGCAGTTCGTGTTGCTGGTGCTGGACCCTGGCCTGTGTCAGGAATGGCGTGGCCAGCAGGACAAGGGGTGTGATTCTTCCCCTGTGCTGTGCACTGGTGGGGCCACACCTCGAGATGTGTCCTGTTCTGGGCCCCTCATTCACAGAGGATATTGAGGTGCTGGAGTGGGTCCAGAGAAGGGCAACACTGCTGGGGAGAGGTCTGGAGCACAGGTGCTGTGAGGAACAGCTGAGCGTGTTTAGCCTGGAGGAGGCTCAGGTGTGACTTTATCCCTCTTCACAACTGCCTGAAAGGAGGCTGCAGCCAGGTGGGCGTCGCGTTCTTTTCCCAGGCAACCCGTAACAGGACATAGTCTTAAACTATGCCAGGGGAGGTTTTGGTTGGACACTAGGAGGAATTTCTTCACATAGAGGGTGATTAGAGATGGGAACGGGCTGCCCAGGGAGGTGATGGAGTCACCAGCTCTAGAGACGTTCAAGAAACGTCTGGCACCACTCAGTGCCACGGTCTGTTTGACAAGCTGGTGATCGATCTTAAGATGGAACTCGATTACCTCAGTGGTCTTTTCCAACCTAATGGATTCCGGGACTTGTGAGCGCTAGGCACGACGCGCTCCGCGGGCGGTCGCGGTTGCTCTCCACACCTGCGGGCCGCGCCCTCGCCTTTCGGCCGCCCAGCTCCCGGGGCTCAGCTGGGCGCGCGCGGCGCGCTGGGCGCGCGCGGCCCCGCGCGCTGCCTGAGGGGCGCCTCGTGCCCCCGCTGGTGGTGTGCCTGTCCTGCCCTGCCCTGCCTGAGGGGTCTTTCCCCTCCTCGAGGGGCTGCTCCGGCTTCCTTTCTCCTCCTCCTTCCCCCGAGGAGCTGCCGTGCCCTGGCCGCCGCGGTGCCGGGCGGGCAGAGCGAGAACGACGCTACCTCAGCGCCTGGGTGAGGGCTGCGGCCGGCGGAGGTGCTTCTCCCTCAGGCCCAGGTGAGGGGGAGCTCCGAGCCCTCAGGTGAGGCGGGCTCTGCTCCCGCCGGTCTCCGGGCGCGGGGCGGGAGCCGCGGGTCCCCCAGAGCGGGCCGGGCCGGGCGGAGGGCGGTGGAGCGGCCCGGAGTGATGACGCGCTTCCTGCCCTCCCCGCCGGGGGTCTGCGCCTGGAGTCCGCAGCGGCGGCGGCTGCGGGCGGCGGCGGTGGAGCCGGCGGGAGCGGGCAAGAGGCGAGCGGGGGGAAGGAAGGAAGCGAGAGAGCGGCGGGGCTTAGGCGCTCCGCAATGCCACAGTAACAGCGTTCCCGGTAGGAGCCCGCGAGGACCCTCGTCCTGCCCCGCCGTTGCACATTGCATAGAGCGTGTGGTCTGTGCGGAGCCGCCGAGAGGGGGAAGACTCGGCGCGGGGCTGAGCGGCGGGAGCGCGGAGCCGCTCGGCTGCCGCGGGGTTCTCGATGCGGGCTGCCTCCGAGCGGCAGCAGCCGCCGCTCCCCGCTTCGCCCCTGCAGGCTCGCCCGCGGGCAGCGCTGCCTGCCCAACAAGTTGCTGGTTACAGGGAGGACAGCAACAGCCCGGCCCAGTGCCGTGCGGGCTGAGCCCCGGGAAGGGGAGAGCGGCCTCGGCTCACCTATCGTTCGTCAGGAGCCGGGCCGGGATGAGAGGGAAACAGCGGTCTTTTAGGATTTCCCTGAGCCGTGTATGGCTGGAATAGGAGGCAGGTGCTGGGTCGGCCGGCCCCTCGCATCATGCCTGGGGAGCGTGGCGTGGCCGGGTCGGAGCCGTGTTTGCCCGGGGAACGGAGATGTTCGCTGTTGGGCGCTATTGGCGACCTGATGTAGAAAAAACCTTTTGGCAATACGTGGTGAAGTGACGACCTCCCAAGGACGATCCTGCCGCGTCTGCATATGCGTGGATGTGTATCTATCTGAGTCTCTGTCCGCATCTTCCCACGAGAGCGGCGGAGCGGCTGGCGCTGGAAGCGGGGCGCGGGGCGGTCCCGTAGGGCCATCCCGGAGGGAAGGGAAGGGAAGGACGCGGCGTGCGCAGCGCAGACCAGGATGGGTGGGCGGCTGCTCCGCAGCCTCGCTGCTCTCCGGGCCGGCCTGGGGCGTGCGGGGCTCCAGCGTTCCGGGCTACCTGCCCCGGTGAGGCTTCGTGTCCAGGGCTAGGCAAGCGCAAAACCTCCTTTAGTGCGAGGCGGCGTTGTGTGCGTGCAGCGGGGCTGTCCGCGTCCCGCCTGGGGTTCTCCTGTGTCCCGATCCCTCTGTTTCTCCCATGCCCTCCTAGCCGATAGCTGTCCCTGCGTGCAGCCTTGCCTTCGGGTGTCTGGAGAGCCCCGGCGCGGTGTCACTGCGTGGGAACACCTTACTGAGAGCTGGGGCCTCTGCTGGCTTTATGCTCACCTTCTATAGCGCTTTTGTTCTGCTGACCAGCCATTTCAGATTTTTTGGGCTTTTAAACACACACTTTTTGTGTGTTAAAATGCTGCTATGAGGTGTAGTTAGAAAGGTTGTGGGAATGCTCATTGATTGAAAAAACCTCTTGTCAGATTAAACAATTGTCCGCTTCCCTCCAAATATTTTTAAAGTCTTATTTTGTAGACCTGTATTGTGGAGCAAAGTTTGGGCCATATTAAATTTCAAGGCAGTTCTGGGTTTGGAAGTATGTTGCTTAGAGACGTTGAGGAGTTCTGCATTCTCAGAAGAGCCCAATGGCCATGGAACAATCTCCCTATGATTTAAAAACAAAGAAGCAACGTATTTCTGAGATTGCTCTTGCTTATGTAAAACATGACTTATTTGTATGTTTATGGAGGTGTGTTTTAAGTAGGAATGCAAGCTGCCACTGTTAATTAAAAATACCTTACAAATTGTAGTATATTAAAGGCTTTCATATCTCTATGGTGTAATGGTCAGCCATGCTTCCAACAGAACAGCTGTTAGACAAGTTAACTGAAAGTTAAGTTGGCTGAGCTACCATTCCTGCTTTAATTTTCATAATGTGACATTTTCCGGGGAGATTCAAGGTTATCACGCAGCTGAGGAGGGAGGGGGAGTGTCTTTTGATTCTTGGAAGTGCATTTCATTTGAGTTTCCTAATGCCTCATTTAACTCACTGGTCACTGCAGAACTATAAAGGGTTAAGTGGAATTCTAGCTTATCTATTAGTGACAAAATTATTGAGCTTATGTAAGATAGGAATACTTGTTTCTGGTTGCCAGTCTAAGTGGGTTAACTATGGCAAACTGGAATAATTCAAGTTCTGAATCTCAGTATAAAATTAGATAAAGTCTACAGACATTTCATATGGGATACCCATTCATTTTACCATTCAGATTACAGGAGTTTATCCTGAATAATTGTCCTGTGTTTTTGGAGTAACATCTGTTGCATGATATCATGTAATGGAATGTGGTACAGCCTAACTTAAGTTGATTTGAAACACTGCCATTGCACTGTAGTAGTGCCTGAGAGGGTGAGAGGTTTTGTGGTGTGTGTGATGGACAGATTGGTTACAAGTAGACAATATTGAGGAAGATTAACTTGCATTTGAACTGCAAAGGATTAAGTAGTTTACTCTGAGCTTGGTTTGTTTTACAGTTTTACTTAGGCTTCTTTCATCATTTGCCAGCTAATACAATGACTGAATTCTACTTATATTAGGAAATCCATCTACAGTTATAAATATAACTATCAGTACAAAACACCACTACAGTAGAATCCCAATCTTATTTTGGAGTGGGAGAAGTGGGCTTGAAGGAACTGTCTAGCTGTGACATAGCTTGAACTGCATGAGTCTTAGAAGTTTTGCTGTGAAAACTTTCATTTGTTTGGTATTGTTTCTACAAAGATTTGACTGCACATAGCAAGTATGTTCTGATGCATTAATATTTGGATTATCACTTTATATGACTACTTATGTGATGTGTATCTATTAAACTTGTGCAAATGCAATCTAGATGGTTTGCAAAAATGGCAGTACTTAATTAGTCACATCTAGACAGGAGTTCAAGCATCTCACCTCCATTCCTTTTTGTGGCATTGTAGTGTTAGATAACTGTTGGGTTATCAGCATTGTATGTTCATGAGATATGAGTAATACCATTTGTTGAAGTATCCCTACAATCCATAATTTTAGCATTATGGTACTAAAAACACCATTTGAGTTGATTCACAGCTGCCAGTCCTGTCTGACCTTTGGAGATTTTGGTAAGCTGCCAAATATGTAGACATCTTGATATTGTTTTTTTTTAATATGAAGAGTTTCTTGCTAAGCAGTGTTTTCCAGATGCTGCCTTTGCACCAGGCCCTAATTAGGTAGGAAGTGTGTGAATTTCTTTACAGACCACTGTACCAGCTTTCAGAAATTCTTTTCTCCTCCCTGCTTTTGAGTCTTTAAAATTTTTGGCAAGTCTGCTTGTGCATGTTTCTACAGACAATACAATGCTGATGCAAATTGAGAACAGCAAGCAAAATGTTGGGTGTTGTTGCACATGGGGGGAGGCTGTCTTAATAATGCAGTGTTGCATTTCATTTGTTTACTTTTGGATTTTAGTGTTTCAGGTGGGACAAATGGAGATGGAAATTGCAGTTTTAGGTAGTCCTGAATGAGAATGCAGGGTTTTGCTTCCAGGGTTCTGCTTTTGACCACATAGGGTTATTAAAATACACAATAAATTGAACTGTAAAAATTTTGGGGCAAAGGAGACGCAAAAGAAAAAGCAGAGAGTTTTTTCAGACTGGTTTATCTTACTACTTCCAGAGGCTACGTTAAGCAAAATAATCTAGGGTTTTGCAACTCAGTGGATGAGATTATGATTGTGGACATCATGCTGCGTCTTAAGCTCTTTTATACTTGATTTTTATTGTTGTGGTTAAACAGTCTATTCCTTTTACAAAAAGAATGCCTTGAAGGTAGCCTGAGCTCCTTAGAAGTGTAAGTGCTGATTCACAGCATGTGGTGCAATCCTGGGTCTGATCAGTGTTCAGAGTGTTGTGCCTTTTGTCTCTGAGTGCAAGAAAGTTCCATCTTTGGAGTGAGGCTGGTATGCTTGAGTATGAGGAGGTGGTAAAGAGTGCTGTGCTTAGTTTTAAGACCAGACTTTTAACTGTGTACAATGAATTTTGTAGTCTTCTGTTCCTGCTAATGCTGCTGAAAACCCATTTCACAGTAGTCAGAGAACCATTTCTCTGGGTGTGCTGTGTGCACACATGCTTATCTTGGAATTGAGTTTGAATTAGCCTGCATACTTGAAGCAATTGTGATAACATTTTGATATTTTCCACTTCCAGTTGCAAGCTGGAATTTCATCCCCAGGGATCCACCCCCTCGATTCTCAAAGCTCCAGCACCTTTTTACTCAAGCATCTTCATAAAGCTAGAAAATGCACTGACTGACTTCACAAGGTGAGGGTGACTATACAGCAGTAAGTCTTGTCTTAAAATATCTTTACAGTATTACTGTGCTGACTTACTTGTAGTCCCTTTACTTGGCAGCTACCAGTTGATTTCCTGCCAAGATGGGCCAGGCTGGCACTTGAAACTGCCTTCCTTTCATTCTCAGTAGGTAGCTCATCTTTCTGTGTTCAGGCAGCAGGAAGAAAGTATGGTCTGAAGTGAATTGTAAATGAACCTTGTGTCTTTCTCTATGGCAACTTTTGTAAGGTTGAGATTTCTTATTTTCGTGAAAAAGTGACAACCCAGGAACAAGCAGCAGACTCTCAGGCTTCTAAATCAGAGTAAATAACAATTGAGTTGATAAAGAATCAATGGTACTACATGGACTGATTACTTTTTTTGAGTTGAATAGCAATTTACATTTGCCAGCTGTGGTAGATTTGTTGCTCTAATATGTTGAAGAGTTTAGTTTTTTGTTGAAGTATTTGGTGTAGTGGTGTGAGAACCTTTTAAACAATCGCGTTGTCTTCAGCTTAAAAAGTCTTCAGTTGTGTAATCCTTTTCTTATTACAGATTGTTTATTTTCATATAATGATCTCTCTTTATCTTTCTTGAGAGTTGATGGCTGTAATGTGGTAAGTAACCCTTTGTCTCAGCAACCTCAAGTCCAGCCTATCCTGTGGTTTGGTTTCAGTCGTGTTCTGTACTAATGGGAAAGTTCTGATTTTTCTGGAATGTGAGATTTAAACTCTGTGTATAGTTGACATAAGTATAAGCATAAAACAGTTCCAAAAATTGCTGGCTTGATTTTGTTCAGCTGGAAACATTAATTAGGCTCAAAGTAATTTACACTGAGTACCTTTTACCTTAGTTCAATTTATATGTGCCAAGTGCTGTGTAGCAGGAAATGGCAAAGTGGCACTTGGCAGACAGAACGGCAGCAGGAAAGACAGATTATCAATGTCTGACAGAAGTGATGGTGCATGTTTAAGAGAAGACTTGTGATAGGAGGAGGAATCTTCTCAGGAATATGATGGTGGTGTAGGACTGATGGGCATAATCCTTAGACCCAATGAATATGTTTAGATACCATGATAATCAAAATTTAGCAACAGGTCTATGAATGACTGTATGAAAAAGTGAAATCAGGAGGTCGAACCTGAATATTTCAGTTTACTGTAGCTTGCAATTTCTGTAATTCCTGTAATTTTTTGTCATTTGTGACTGCAAGATTTTATTAGATGATTTTTTGTTGTGTTATAAGGACATATGTGTTGACAAGGGCATGTCTGAACTCCCTGGGGAAAAGGTTGAGTGGGAGTTATTGCTGCACAGCCAGCATGCAGGGTCAAGCAAAAGGAACCAGTGGTGTCTCCTGGGTCAGAGTATCACTAAAGACACTGGTACAGGGAGGAAGAGATCCATGTCCAGCTTCAGTTGAAAAAAGCAAAGGCTGTGGGAAATGAGATCACTCTGATGTTTAAAGTACTCTTTGGAAACATTATGTGCAACAGCTGAGGATATACAGACCCCAGGCAAGAACCTAAGATGTTGTAGTATGTATCAACTTGAGGAATATTTTGGGTTTTTTAATTAAAAAAAAAAAAAAAGGGACACTATGTTTGAAGTTGTGAGTAGGGTTCAGATAAGCCTGCTTGTTTGCTGCGTTGTCTGTTCAGCTGCACTGTGATACCAATGAGACTTAAAAGCAGCTGGTTGGTGTAGATGTGTGTGTACAGAAGACCAGAAGCTGTGAAGAAAGGGTGGTTAACTTTGCCTTGTGAGCTTGGGCAGACCAGACTACGAATTAAGTACAGAAAACATCCAGATATTGAGGAGGGCTTGCAGGCCATGTAATGAGTTTTTGCTAAGGCCTTTGTATGTAGTGGACCTGGACATGTAAGGGGTCAGTTCAAATGGATCACAGGTGAATGAAAATTTATTCTCTCTGTCCTAGGCAGAGAATGTATTTTTAGAGTTTTCATGTCAGAGCTTTAGCTGACTCTGTAATACCACTCCCAAGGGAATGGCAGGGCTTTGGGGATGAAGAGATGAGGCAGAAAAACACCTTGCTTGTGGTACAAGTGTGTGGTTAAGGTGAGCTGCTTATGCAGCAGTTATGCACTTGGAGGTTGTTCAACACAGGTGAAGGAAGCCTGCAAGCAGGAGGAAGAGTGGATGTGGCCTGAGGAATCAAGCACACCAGTACAGCAGCAACAAAACATCCAGATATTGAGGAGGGGTTGCAGGCCATGTAATGAGTTTTTGCTAAGGCCTTTGTATGTAGTGGACCTGGACATGTAAGGGGTCAGTTCAAATGGATCACAGGTGAATGAAAATTTATTCTCTCTGTCCTAGGCAGAGAATGTATTTTTAGAGTTTTCATGTCAGAGCTTTAGCTGACTCTGTAATACCACTCCCAAGGGAATGGCAGGGCTTTGGGGATGAAGAGATGAGGCAGAAAAACACCTTGCTTGTGGTACAAGTGTGTGGTTAAGGTGAGCTGCATATGCAGCAGTTATGCACTTGGAGGTTGTTCAACACAGGTGAAGGAAGCCTGCAAGCAGGAGGAAGAGTGGATGTGGCCTGAGGAATCAAGCACACCAGTACAGGAGCAACTAGTTGTAAGGTCAGGCCATGAAAGTGGCTCGGTAATGAGTGTGAATAACTGTGTGGGAGCAATGTGTTCATGCCTCAATGCTATTATCATTCCTTTTCAGGGATAAATTGCAGTTTGAAGCATTACAAATGCCATCTGTATATGAGGGTAAAAATCCTCTAGTACTTTAGGTTGAAAACAGAAAAAAACCCCACTGCTTTCCGTGTGGATCTTAGCATAATCAGCCATTGCCTTAACTTCTCTGGGATAATATTGCCAGCCTACCATTTAAGACAACAGTTTAGAAATATTTTTTTTGATCTCACATCCTTATCACTAAAAGATTTGTGAGCACACACACCAAAATATATATATTATTCATAAATTTGCACACATACTACTCAACTATTATTATACACATTACAGAACATACACGAAAATAGTAATTAATAAAAGAGAAGACAAATAGAATGTTTTATTTTTTAACAAAACCCTTTTTTACTTTCATTAAGGAATAATTTAGTGAGAGCTATATGATTGAACATGCCTCTCAAATTCTTTTTAAAATGTTGGTTCATCACTTGTATACAGCCATTTTAAGGGCCAGTTCTGTGTTCAGTTTAGTTCAGTACTTGGTTTTAATGAACTTCCAAGCCAAATGAGATACCTCACAAAGACAGATCCGAGTGGAAGAAGTGCATTGTTGGTGATTACTAAATAATGATACTAATTTTCCATTTCCATCCACTAACTGTGCAGAGATTCTTCTTGGGATTCATCTATTAAATTTCCACCTTCACTGATGTCAATCAGTTTTTCTTGCTGACTAATGGGAAGATGTTTCATTCTTCTCTTTTCCTGAAGCACTTATTTTGGAAGATTTCTAAACAGTGTTGGGGTTTTTAAAAGGATTTAAAGTTTAAGAAATTATGTACAGCTTTCAGAGGTTTTTATAGGAGGGTTTTTCAGTGGAAACATTTGCAAACATTGATTTTCAAAACAGTCTATGTAAAGTGAGTTTCTTTAGGAAAGCAGTTACCTTCTTCATCCCTGTTAACACAGGCTGCCAGCTTCACCTTGAAGGGACACCTTAGGTGTGTATTTATCTGAAAATACCTGGTAGCTAGGATAATGTTGACAGCCCCTTGTCAGCACAGAAAAGAACAGACAATTTTGAACAGTTGCCTTTGTAGGAAAAAACACATAGTGTGTCATTAAGTGTGGCAACTCTTTTAGGCCCTTTGCCACAAGATAACTAGCAAAACTTACTGTGGGAGTATGAATTTTGTGGTCACTGTCCATCTTATTAAAAGCTATTCTACTGCTTGAAGATCTTATTTTTATAAAATGATATAATCAATGACATCCTGAGCACTTGGTACACCCCTGCCTCCAGCGTTGCTGTGTTAGTTTATCTATGAATGATGCAGTGAAAGAATTTCATGTGTGGTTATGGAGTGCCTGCTTTAACTGGAATAAAAAAGAAAAGGATTCCAGTGTAAAGGCTACAGATAAAATCACATAAGTGTACACTTGCACAGTTTTCTCATAAAACATTGTTTCTATTAAAGAAATAATTTGCTGTTGAGTTTACTTTAAAATATCGTTCCTGGAGTGGTTCAGAACAGAGAAGTTCCCAGTGTTTCACTGGTGAAACAATCCAGCATATACCCTGAGATGAGGCATGTAAGAAACATCTGTAAGGTCAGCCAACAGTGCAGCACACCTCCCACACTGCATAATTTGTTCTAATTCTTGCTTTCTCTAATCTTCAGCTGTTTTCTGTGTCTTCCAGCAGTATTTGCTGATAAAGGAATGCCATATTGTCTTCCATGTATTATTTCAGCTATTTTTTACTGCAGTAGGAAGATCAAATGGTCTCCCATGCCATATGCCTTTGTCTCTTCTGCTGTAAAGCAAGAAACCTTAAAGAAGGCTTTTGAAGATTTGCCATTGAGTTCAGGTGGTTGGGGTTTTTTAAGTGAAGTACTATATTGAGTATCACATGATTTGAAGAAATTGTAAAGGTTTGTCCTCACTTCACTGGAAACTTAATTTTTAAATGTCTTGCTGATCATGATGGCTTCATATTATCATTATCTAATATCTCAAAGCAAAATGTTTAGAGTGAGTTTCATAGTTAATGATGAAAATCCATATTTCAAATAGTTATCATAATGCCAATTTTTTGGCCAACTTTTAGTCAGATCTGATTAGATTGTTGATTTTACCTCAATTTGTGTGACAAGTAGCTTTTACTGGGAATGGGAAGTCAGCTGTTGCATATGGATTTTGAAGCAAAAAGAAGATCTGTCTTGGCATCTGTGTATCTGACATAGTAACACTTCAGAGTCTTCAGGATCAGAGGTGACTTTAGGAAGATTTGCAGCTGTAGAGGGCCCTAAAGGCA